TTAAAAAAAAAAAAAAAAAAGGAAATATACTAACATGTTTCTGTGACCTAAATATCTTAAAACTACCAACCTCTTCACTTAACAGTCTCCACTAAGAATTTCCCGAGGGTCACATCCTGGTTCATATAGGAAACACAAAGAGGAATCCTACAAACATAGTGCGTAAATGTAATACATGACCAGCTTATTGCTATTTACTATTATGATTACTTACATAGATTACAGAAAGTTCTTGGGCAATTTCTGTATTTTTACCATGACCTTTTAAGATAGCATGTCTTGTTTCTCTTATCAACTTATCACTCACTGATCTATTACTATAGTTCCTTTTCATTAGAAATAAAATGCAGAGAATATTCAGAATGCAAATCATCGTCCTCTGCAGGTACAGATACTAAAGAACATTTCCTCACTAGCATCCAGCTGCATCACTAATAATTGCTGCAAAACCATAAAATGCTAAGCATTGTATCTTAATGGCACTGTATAGCTAGCTGTACATCACTGAACAAACAAAACTTTCTTTAATAAACCTGCAATCCAAAGTGTTGATTATCTTAAGTTACATTATATATTTTTATTTTCCATTAGTTTGTGTAACACTTCAATCTGTGAACAAATATATCTTAATCTGATAAATGCTGGCAGAAGTAATATCTCATTCAGAAATTGAGGTCAAATTCCTAAACAAGTAGTTAAAACTCTTAAAACATTTTTAAAAGAAATGCATCAGCTTAGATTACAAACATTTCCCAAGATTTAAAAAAAAAAAAAGGCTAGACAAAAGAATGTCTAAACTAAAACAGTTAACAATCTATCCTCTATGACACAATGTAACTTATCACTGTTGAAAGCCTCCCTAGAAGCCCTTGGGAGACCAGAAAGAAACAGATCTGGACAAAACTCAACAGACTAAAAATTGGAATTGTACCACTTTTCTAAAAGCTCCCTTGTTCTTTGTCACCTATAAGTTTATCCTCCATATTTGATGACTCAATTACAGCTATATAAAATATATAATTGCCAGCAGCAAACAGAATGGTCATGAGCTCAAGTTCAAGAGTCCAAAAGCCAGTATGAATCTAGGCTCTGCCACTTAACAGATGTGTGTACGTGGCTAAGTTACTTAATTCTGTGTCTCAGCTGAAAACACCAGTAACAACAGTACCTACCTCCTAGGGTTATAGCGAAGACGCTAAGATAAGACACATAAGGCCTGTGGAATAGGACCTGTTTGTTATTATAACAAAGTTACCAATTAAAAAAAAAATGTTAGGTACCTGATAATGATTAATCTCTATATTTATGAGTGCTTCAGGTGGCATCCACTGTTAAATATAACGTTTCATATTATACAAAATACCTTTGAAACTTCAGGTATTCACAAATTGTAATAGCCCAACTCCCTGACTCCATGCTAATTTCAAGAGACATCAAACTCTCCAAAATTTGCACTTGATGAACTGGTAACGAGTGAAGTTCTACAACTTTAAATCACCCTGCCAAATTAAAGGCAAAGAAAATGACAGTCATCTCGAACTTACCAGAAAAGATGAACAGGGAAAATGTCTAGTGCTACAAGATCTGTTGAAAACAACAAGATCTAGCCACTAGGTTTGGAAACCTACTACGGATTTGTTTTCAAGTATAGTCAGTGGCTTCACCTCATTTATCACTTAAAACCTTAAAAGGAGGCCACGTTTAATTTTGTTTCAGATACATTATTCACAGAAGCATCCCATTACATTACATTCTCTCACCAATAACTTTTAATCAAAAGACATCATTAACGAAAATCAATCTGTATTTTTCCCTTTATTAAAACATCCAGAAAAATACCACTTGATTTTTAAATAAATGCATTTCAGAAATCTTAACACAATTTATAAAAGTTTTAACAACTTACAACTGTCTAAAAAGGTTTCCATTCTTAATACCCTATTTACCCATAATTCTAGGACATCTGAATTTTAAAAACCAACATTTTCCTGGCTGACCCAATTTAACAGGGGTTGGTTCTTTCAACATATAAGCAGGAAATAAAGTTGAAGTAAACGTATCATCTTCAAACGACTACCATGAAACCAAAATCGGGTTTTGCAATACCCAACTAAAGCATCAGAAGAGAGGGTCATCATACTTAGAAACTGACTACTGAAAAAGCAGAGGCTAAGTCCCTCAATTTTTTTCAGGAAACAGCATTCACACTCTGCTATCCACAATTTTCAAAATCTTCATTAAAGGCCCTGAAAATCCTGTTTGTTAAGACCGCTGGAATTCTGTGGTTCACAGTCATCTTTCCTCAAAACTTAATGGTCCATATTATCCATTTTCAATTTTATTAGGTCACCTTGAGATTCTCTCCTCTGAAAAGCATTTGTGGGCTTTACTTATCAATATGTCTCTATTAGTAATTTCAAAATCAATAAAGCTCATACACCTTGTAGCCCACTCCTATTTTATCGTGCTTGCTAAAATATACATATATTTCTCAGGGATCAAAAGGCTAATATGAACTGCTTCCAAACTTCGGTGAATCTGCGTTACATCCTCAGAACACCTTGAGATTCTTCTGTATTGTGCTGCAGCTACACAGCAGGCGCATGATCACAAGGCTTTTCAACAGCCCCCAGATCCCTTACTGCTGCAAAACTTCTCATAAGCCTTCTATGTACCACACAGACTGTTAACAGTGCTGGGCTAAAATTGTTAAACTGCTTTACCTATATTTATTTACCAATCCTATCATCTCAGGGAATCCAAACCCTTTAAACTGCCTTCTAAAACACAGCTGGAGTGCTTTCGTATTGCTTTGAGTACGATCTGCAGCGGGATAAAAACTTGAGTTCTGAGATTCATCCCTTGACCCAAATTGCAGTTGCCAGGATATGCGGTAGTAATGCAGTGATTTCTTTGAGACTCCACGGATGTATTCTACCTGCAAATAGCCAATCTCTACTAAATCCCTTTTACTCTTCGAGATTTCCGCGGTAACAATTTCAACAGCGAAGTATTTTTAGCAAAGAAAAAACGAGCTATACTAATTTGGCCTTTATTTTTTACTCAATAGAGCTTGCCATCATAAGGGCATTTTCCCATACTAACATTTGCAACTGGAGAAAGAAAAAGCAAGCTTTTGGCACTACTGACCATTATCATTACGGAAGGCCCATTACCATTACGGAAGGCCCATTATCATTACGCTTCTTACAAATCTTCTTTCGAGATAGGATTTGAGGTTAAGCTTACATCGGACCAGCCCAGTAACTTACCGTTTTCCAAGCTCAATTAACAGTCTAATAACAACAGCAACACTTACGCCCCGGGAAATCTCAATGTTTCACTAACCAATAAGGCGTCTGATAACGAAGGCAGCCAGTGAAACACTGAGATTCTTGTTGTTGTTCTTCCTCTCAGGGAAGGAAGAAGAGAGAAGGACCCCAAAAGGGTCCGTGAGAGCAAAATCCCGGGATTCGGAAGCCCTGGCCTCAGGAACACTGGCCCCGAAACCCCTCCAGCCCAACCCAACCACCCCTCTTGTACCCTGGGAGCCAGCCCTTCGCTGGCACAGGCCGGGCAGACCCCGAGGGCACAGACCCCCACACAACGCCCAGGCCGGGGTTCCGAAATCCGACGCCAACAGGTGGAAACCCCAAGCCCCGCGGCCTGAGTTTCAGAGGTAAGAGAATGCGGGTGAGAGGAGATGCGGCCTCCCTCAAGCTGGGAGGCCCCCTGAGAAAGCCGAGAGGGGAGAAGAGCGAGCCGGTTCGCAAGTTGGAGCAAAGCCTGGAAGGAAAGAAGGCTGCGAGCCGGAGATGAAGGAGATCTGGGCTCGACCAGCGCCTTCCCCGCATCCTCGGCGACGCCCGTGTTTACCTGAAAGTCTCGGTCCTCGTTGAAGCGGGAGAAGCGGTCCGCCATTTTGCCGCCTTCACTCCTCTCAGGACGACGCTCTCCGGTTCGCTCCTTCCCTCCAGCGACACCCGCCCCTTCCCGGTTCCCCGCCTCCTCCCACGCCCACCGGGCGCGCGCAGCAGAGGGAGGGTGAGAGAATGCGCGTCCTGACGGGAGCCCCGCGGCGCAGGCGCCGGCCAGCCTTGGAGGCGGACCCTTCCCTCCAGCCCCTACTCCGCGCGCGACCCGGAGCGACCCCAGAGGCCGTGCGTGCGCACTCGCGCCTGAGAGCCGCGAGTGCTTCCGGAGGGAAAGGTCAGAGGGGCCACCGTGGGGATGGATCCGGATAGTTTGCTGTCGCTCACTTCCGGGTATCTTTCGTCACTGTTGCTTCCCTTGTGCTCAGAAGTCCATCATCTTCACTAAATAGCAGCATAATGTTGGGCTGAAATCGCGACTTTAGAGCCAGACTACTTAACTTCGAATCTCGGTTCACTCTGAGGATTCAACGGTGAACGAGACAGGAAGGATCTCCTCTCAGGGGGATTTCATTCTGGTGGAAGTCACATAACTCGTAAAATAATTAAATATTTTTAAATATCAACAAGTGCCACAAAAAGGTAAAGCTGTCCGCGGTGTTCAGAGGGACAGGCTCTGAAAGCACCTTTGACCCGAGGCACAGCATTGGGGCCTAGGAAACGTTAGACCCAAAGGCCCAAAAACTGCAAGGAGCTTGATATTGAGCCACCTTTTGAGAGAAGTATTTCTCAAGGGACCAAAGTTGATTCAAATCAACTAAAGCTCTCTGGGCTTCAATTTCCTTTTTATACAATAAGGAAATTGGATTCCGTAATCTCTGCTGCTCCTGCCTCATGCTGACTATGAGAGTCAAGAATCGGATTTTTCCATCCCTTCTGAGGACCTCCCCCAGCGCTCCAGCACTCCTAGCCAAGGTACAGAAAACACATAGAAGGGTGCAGGACTTCCTTACTTTTGAAAAGAGTAGTTGACAGAAATCACACGATGGAAAAATGGCTGTTACCCTGCCTTGAAAGAGTCAAATGGAATGTAATTTTTTGGAGGAAGGGTGTGCATTTTCTATTTGTTACTCTTTGCCCCACCCATGCTTCAGCCTATGCTTCCATCTAAGGGGAGGCAGGGCACACAGAATTCAAACGTTGTAAAGAGACTTTAGGACAATGTGGCAGATTGAATCACAGGGATACACACCACATTGACCTCCCTCTCAAAAGCCCACTGAAGTGACAGTAAAGGAATAAAAAGCGCATCAGTTCACATGGACAAAGAGACCTGGAAAAGGGACAATGGCAGACAACAGATGTCAACATTTGGGAGGCCGGCGAGCATAGAGAAATGGAAATGACTTTAGTAGAGTGGAGAAAAAGAAGTCATGGAGTAGGAGAAGACAGGAAAGAAGTTGATGAATGCTGAAGTGCACCAGCAAGGCTCAGGAAGTGGAAGCACCTGGTGCCACTGAAGACTCGACATCTCTTTTCCCACCCAGGTAGCAAACTGGAGGTTTTCCCTCTGGAAAGGCTGAGCCAGAGAGACTGGACTTTAACATACCTGGCATAGGTGAGAAGGAGCAACCATGCTGACAATGGGATAATATGGTAAAGCCTCCATTCTGGTCAGAGAGTCTGACTTCTGCAACAAAAAACCATAGGAACCCTCTCTAGAAAACTGACTAGCTTAGGGAAGAGAAACCTTCATGTACCAACAATGGGAGTGAGGCTAGGGAGGTGACTTCCTACATAAAGATCGTGTTCCTGCCCACATACCCCGCAGGGAAGTTCATCATTCAGGAAGCCCCATCCACTCAGCATTTTAGTGCCTTGTTATAAATGGATAGCCAAAGATTACCAGACATTTGAAGGGAACCTGTAACAGGAAAGATAGAAACACCCCCAGCCTGGGCATCGTAGTAAGACCCCATCTCTACAAAAGAGTTTTAAAATTAGCTTGGTGTGGTGTCATGCCCCTGAGGTCCCAGTTACTTGAGAGAATGAGGCAAAAGGATTGCTTGAACCCAGGAGTTGGAGGCTGCAGTGAGCTATGATGACAGCAACAGCTCCCTCCTCCAAAAAAATGAATTCAGAGGAACCAGAGATAATGAAAGGAACAGAAGAACCCACAAAAGAATTATCATCAATATCCACAGAAACATTAGATCACATCAGGGTACAAGGGGATGCATCAGGAAATAGGAGACTACATCAAGGGGCATGGGGTGCCAAAAAAGCAAAAAGGATATTGAGGTTAAGAAAGAACTTTTGGAGTTGGGTGTGGTGGCTCACGTCTGTAATCCCAGCACTTTGGGAGGCCAAGGCAGGCGGATCACTTGGGGTCAGGAGTTCAAGAGCAGCCTGGCCAACATAGTGAAACCCCATCTCTGCTAAAAAATAAACCATTAGCCAAGTGTGGTGGTGGGCACCTGTAATCCCAGCTACTTGGGAGGCTAAGGCAGGAGAATCACTTGAACCTGGGAGACGGAGGTTGCAGTGAGCTGAGATGGCGCCACTTGTACTCCAGCCTGGGCTACAAGAGTGACAATCCATCTCCAATAAACAAACAAATAAATAAATAAAAATATTATCTGGGCCGGGCGCGGTGGCTCAAGCCTGTAATCCCAGCACTTTGGGAGGCCGAGGCGGGTGGATCACGACGTCAAGAGATTGAGACCATCCTGGTCAACATGGTGAAACCCCGTCTCTACTAAAAATACAAAAAATCAGCTGGGCATGGTGGTACATGCCTGTAATCCCAGTGACTCAGGAGGCTGAGGCAGGAGAATTGCCTGAACCCGGGAGGCGGAGGTTGCGGTGAGCCGAGCTCGTGCCATTGCAGTCCAGCCTGGGAAACAAGAGCGAAACTCCCTCTCAAAAAAAAAAAAAAAAAAAAAAAAATATTATCTGGATGGGGTGGTACACACCTGTAGTCCCAGCTACTCAGGAAATCACCCAGGAAACAGAGTAAAAAGACACCCTGGACTAAACCCTCTCTACTTTCTCCTGAATTATTGCAGTAGCTACTAAGTGTTCTCCTTCTACCCTGGCAGCATACGTGCTACAAAGGAGCTCTGGTGATCTTGTTGAAGGTCAGTCAGATCACATTTGTTGTCCCCTGATTCAACGCTCAGTGGCTTTCCATGTCACTCACAGTGTAAAGTTCACCTCTCACCACCTCACCTCTCAGACCTCATCTTCCTCTCTGCACCCGTTTCCCTTCTCTCTGGACATACTGACCTCCTGGCTGTACCTTGATCCCATCAGACCTGTTCCTGCCTCATGCTGCCCCACCTATGGGCTTATGTATTTGCTGCTCTTTCTGCTTATCATTCTTTCTCATATATCTCCATGGCTTGCTCCGTCATCTTCTGGTCTTTACTCAAAAAGTACATTCTTTTATTCTTCTTTCTTTCTTT